TCAATGTGGATGGGCCTTAAACCCTGCAAACCCTAAACCCTAACCTGCAGGCAGATGAGTGTGGATGGGCAGTCAGAGAAGCTGCAGCTCGACGGCCAGGGGCCCAAGTCCCAAGTCGCCGAACTGGAGTCCGCAACCGGAGCCTCCTTTACTAGATGGGAGTTTCAGAAAATTAGGGTACCTTATTTTGAGGTCCGTATAATAGGGATCCTATCATTTAGGGTACTATATTAGGGTCACCTATTTTCGGAACTCCCCAGATCTGTATGGGGTTCCTGAAAGGGATCCTTATATGACTAGATCTGTATATAGGGGATCTGCAGGGGTTATTTGTCAGAGGTCTCGAGAGAGAACCACAAAAGGGCTGCTGCCGTAGGACGGGGCTCAAGGGTAGCTGAGCATTCAACCGAGGTTGAGGGACTTCAAGGTGTTGGGTAAAGGACTGGAGGTACTGCTCCGTCTGCACCTCCTGCTTTGAAAAGCTGCACATGTATCACCAGCCACAACTGCTGCCTGGCGAGTGCTAAGGTTTGATACCAAATCAAGTGTGCGCCAGCCAGTACTGCCAGATTGGGATGAACCCCAGGCAAACATTGCAGCTATTCGCAGACCCCATGTCTCTCCCTCCGTCTTCTCTCTCGTTCGTTGATACCTGAATGGTACAGCTGGTTGTCTGCCTTCGTCCGGGCCTAAATAATTAGATGTCCCCGAATCTCATCTTCGCGCACTTCGTGCCTTGCCCCGGAATGACCTCCCGAAGCCTTACACTACCCAGCAGGGTTCAGGACTCAAAGCCCAGGTGAGAAGGCTTGCTGCACCGCATGCATGCAAGGGGGTGTAGTTATTGTAGTCGTGTAGCCGTAGAGTTGACGCGCTACTTCAAACCACGAACACTTCCGGATGGATGGTTAGACTTACTTCCATGTTCGGGCTTTGCAGTAGGAGTTCCGGGCTTCCGGGGCTCTTCGATGGGTTTACGGTTGCCGTGCTTTGCGGCCTCGTGCTCAGTGTGTAGCTGCGGATGCGGCTTCGTAACCGCACTGTTCGTACGTGATGTCGAAGCCGGTGCATCTCCCCGACATGAGTGAGGCCTCAGCTTGAGTTTGAAAGCCTGAGAAGTTATAAGCTAAGTCAGACTCTGCCGGATGACCACCTTTTTTGCCGCAGCAGGTTCGGAGGAAACTTGAGTTTCACCCTCAGAGAAGGCTTTTGGGGCAGCCCCGCATCTGAAATCCTTCAGACATGGAGCAGGTCACCGGATTCGATCTAAGAAGGATGAACAGAGCCAGTGTGCCCCGAAGCTCCGAGCTCGGTAGCCTGAAGCTATACGGGAGTTTCCAAAAACAAGGGGTACCTTATTTTGAGGTCCTTACAATAAGGATCCTAGTATTTAGGGTGCTATATTAGGGTCCCCTTTTTTCGGAAACCCCCATATAGAGCCTCTTTTCATTGGCAAGACTTCTGAGCTGCATTCCTGAGAGATAGCCTTAGCTCTAGCTCTAGCATTCACTGAGACACAGCGCGTCAGGCGTTATCGAGGAAGTACGGAGACTGGCCCAAAACCAGATGGACTATACTAGCATGAGTTCAAGAGGCTTTAGGGTCGATAGGATACCTTCCGAAGTTCTCCTCCTGCGGGCTTCCGCGCGTTGGCCGTTGCGAACGCTGCGTAGAGCTCACCCATGGCGCCGAAATCGAAGGCGGAAAATCACACGACTTGACCGTGGTTTTGAGATTGGAAGCTTGCTCAAGACATCAGGACAGGATGTTGCAAATGGGGAAAGGCAACAGCATGATAGCACTCCGGCTGCGACGTATTCCCACCAATACACCGGAGACAATTTCTGCCACCTGCTGCGACGACCCTGCAAACATGACAACGGCCTAGCTACTTGCCTGCCTGCCCACTACCAGCAGCAACGCTATCGCTATCACTCCCGCTCCCAGCCGCTGCCACTGCCATCGCCACCGCCGCTACCTCCGACACACCACTGCCGCTACCACTACCACTACTACCAGCTGCCACTAAGCTACTGTGACTGTACTATACCCTGCTACCACTACTAAAAAGCCCTCCAACCTCGCCACCACCACTGCCAACACCGCGACCCGTAGCTGCTGTTCACTGGCCACTACATCTGTAACTGCAATTTGCCTTCCAGTCGCCTCTTCCTTGAGCACAGGGTGCAGTTTTCAGTTGTGCTCTCGAGGCATCCGCGAAACCGAAGCGCAGCCGAGCAGGCAGGCCTTGCTCGAGAGATGGATTGCAGGCTCCGCTATAGTTATTATTGCGAGATTAGTCGTGCCCTTGCAGTATCTGGCAGTCCGACCTTTTTTCGAAGACTTCGATGGCAAGACCCACGAGTATTTATGTGATCAAGTCTGAGCAGAGAGAGCGAGGCAGAGAGAGAGAGAGAGAGAGAGTCCATATCTGGACGAGCACCTGCGCCAGGCAGTCTCCCTCCCCGCCGCAGAGGAGCCTCGCCGGCACCCTCAGGCGAGGATAGTTGGCTCGCTGGTTTACGAATGTGAGGCGTATGACTGGATCAATCTGGCCTCGCAGCTGTGAGACATCGGCTCAATCAATCCTTTTGCCCTAACAGCAAACCTTGAGTGCCACAATGGGGTCCGCCTTTCAAGTTGCATTGTTCAACATTCTCGTCCTCCAGGTTTGTGGACACTGCCTCTTTGACAACCAGCCCAAGCTGGAGAGCTGCGGCAGGCGTTGCTTTGGTGTGCCCGGCGGCGGAAAGGTGACCTGCGTCTCGAATTGCCTCGTCGGGAAGGGCGTGTCCTGGTCATGCGCTTCTTGCCTTGGCAGGGGCTTCAACTGTGGCGTCAACTCCTGCATGGGATCCTGCAACACCGGCTTTTCAAAGCCCAGTTGCACGACTTGCGTCAGCTCGCAGTGTGGTCTTTGCAGCGGAGCACGCTCTAGTGAGGATGTCGCCGACAATGCCACCCTTGAAGCACTAATGCACGTCTTCGCTGGTGCAGCCACAGCCGGCACCTCACCGGAGCTGGAGGAAGAAGCCTCTACTCGCAGTGGCAGCGGATGCTTCGAGGTCCAGTCGTTGATGAAGACATGCGGAACACAGTGCTACTCCTCCGGCAACCAGGCGACATGTGCTGCTGGCTGCCTGACCGGCAAGGGTGTCTCCCCCGGATGTGCCAGCTGCTTCGGCAGGAAGATCAGCTGCACGATCAAGAGGTGTCTTTCGGGTTGCGCCGCAGATCCCAATGGTGCGGCTTGTACCTCTTGCGTCGCCAGCAAATGCGGTAGATGCAATGCTGCAAAGTCCTTGGACGAGCCGGTGGGCAAGGACAATTTTGTGGCTGCTCTGGTGGAGCTGGCATCTCATCAGCCTGATCAGAACACAGTTAACAACACAACGGAGCTGGAGGAAGAAGCCTCTACTCGCAGTGGCAGTGGATGCTTCGAGGTCCAGTCGTTGATGAAGACATGCGGAACACAGTGCTACTCCTCCGGCAACCAGGCGACATGTGCTGCTGGCTGCCTGACCGGCAAGGGCGTCTCCCCCGGATGTGCCAGCTGCTTCGGCAGGAAGATCAGCTGCACGATCAAGAGGTGTCTTTCGGGTTGCGCCGCAGATCCCAATGGTGCGGCTTGTACCTCTTGCGTCGCCAGCAAATGCGGTAGATGCAATGCTGCAAAGTCCTTGGACGAGCCGGTGGGCAAGGACAAATTTGTGGCTGCTCTGGTGGAGCTGGCATCTCATCAGCCTGATGAGAACACCATTTTCCCGTGATCAGCGGTGATGTAAAGACGCTCTAATCTAAATTAAAGTCCGTTACTTGTCGGAGTTCTAGGCTCCGTGGCTCTGCGTCTCCTCACAGAATTAGCTGCTTTAGCTCAGAAGAGTTTAGGGTCTAGGGAGGGTTGTTGCAGAGCCCGGTCACTTTTGTTTCCGACCAGGCTGTCAGCACACACGCTGCGACAGCACACAGGCGGCAGGGCTGCATTGCCTTGTCGCAAGCCTGCCTGATCGGTATTTGAGCGCACCTACTGCCTCGAAATTTGTGCCTGCACCCTGCCGGCACCGAACTTGTACATGCGAATCTCAGGGAAAAAGCCTTGCCGCCCAGATGCCTGGAGACTCCAAGATTACTTCCAGTGTTGGTGTTATGACAGTGCAGATGCAGATATCACCCCTTACAACCACCCGCCGACTTAGCTTCACAGCCGACTCCTGGCTGTGAAAATCCCTAAACCCTAAACCCTAAGCCCAATCTTGCAGTTTTTGGGGCTGCAGGTGCGGGAGGTAGCCTTGCCGGCAGTGTGCGCGAAGGCCGGGCTCTAGATGCCCTGGGGCTGAGGGGGGCGCAGCTGCCGTTGGGCTCGTTGTGACTGGGTGTAAGTAAGGGGAGGGTGCTTGTTTTCAGCTTATACCGAAGGCATAATCCATATAAATGAACCCTAAACCCTAACCCTAAAACCCTCTAAAAGTCAGAAGCCGCCCCGGAGCAGACGTCAGGGTCAAGGCGTGGCTCGGGTTGGAGACGAAAGGCAAACCCTAGGGCTCTATTGTTAGGGTTTAGGGGTTTTAGGGTTTAGGGTTTTAGGGTTTTAGGGTTTAGGGTTTATAGGGTTTAGGGCTTTAGGGTTTTAGGGTTTAGCGTTTGGGGCTATAGGGTTTAGGGTCTAGGGTTTAGGGTTTAAGGTTAAGGCGGCTACTGGGTTGCATATTCTCGTCATAGTAGCTTACTTATGCAGGTATGTAACTGGAAAAGGGGGTCACTGGTTTACATCACACTTTGTCAGTAACCGACCTATTCAAGTAACTGGAGCCCTTTAGGGGGAGATGCCGAAAGTTCCTGAAACACGAAGCAGCATGCGAGGTATACGATTGCTCTACAGACTTCTAGGAGATCTGGCAGATGTTGCTTTCACGCTTTTAGTCTCACAGACAACCATGGAAGATGTTGCATTCAAGCGAAGAAGGGCCTTGATGGTGCATTTTAGTCTTGAGTCTTCCGGGCAGAAACGGAAAGCCCGAGACTTCCGATGAATTTGCGAGACCTGCCCTGTCCCTGGCCAGGTTCCAAGGAGCCGGCCGCGTCCGTGGGGTCCAAGGAAAAAGCAGACGATGCCGCCTCTGCTGCCTCCACCGAGGTAGAATGGCAGGATTCGCAACTTGTGTCAGGAGTTTTCTGTTTAAAGTGGAGTGGAGAAATCTACTATGGATCAAAGCTATTGAGCAGGTTCGGGCTCACAGTGTTTAGTCGGTCTGGCATGACTTAGTGGAAGGAGTGACGTTCACCCTTATGATGATAGTATGACGGCATGTTGATGGTGATGTTGTTGACGAAGTTGATAATTTCGACTTTTCTGGATGCAAGCAAATAATGGTAATGAGAATCTTCTTTGACATCATCATTATGCAGCTCATCCTGGTTTGTCAGAGTGATGATTGTGGTGGCGATGGAGGTGACCTGCTAGATTGGCAGGATGTCTCCCCTGGCCATGTTGAAAGTCGGTCGATGCCAGGTCGAAGCACCGCCGGTGATTGTTAGCATCAGCAAGGAGACCATCAAGACAATATTCTCAAGGCCGAGACTTGGGGTTGGGTCAAGCCCTGAACCCTGAAGGCGCGCGTGTGTGTGTGTGTGTGTGTGTGTGTGTGTGTGTGTGTGCGTGCGGTGGTCTTCACACGAAGATACTTGCAAGCAGGCATTTGCCTGCGTCTCTCAGCTATCAGCTAGTTATTGTGACAATGGTAGTGGTGATGATAATGATGATGTTGTTCAAGATGGCGATGACGAGATGATGGTGATGATGTCGTCATCGTTCTCGTCATTGTAGCGATTGTGATGGTGATGATGATGCTGGTGTTGACGATGGTGCCTGTCAGCTGTTGCTGGTCGTGATGATATTTGTTGCTCTTCGTGTTGTCGTGGTAGTGGTGCTGGCGGCCAATACTTGCGCCTGGTGGCTGTCTACTTGAATTTATAGTATGGGTTGAGAATATCCTTGTTGGCAGTGGTCGGTCGTTTTCAACAAGAAAAGTCCAGGGACTCTAGGTTGCTGTTTCTAAGGCGATAGATCGAGTCTCTGTTGCTGTCGCTGGGTCGGTTGATGTTAGTGCTGCTTCTGCTCCTCGCATTACTGGTTCTTCCCAAGCACGACCCGAAAGCCTGTCTTGGACTCTCAACCAATAAGAGAAAGAGTCGCGGAGGCTCTAGAACCTTCCTTTCGATCTTGATGGTGTCCTTATACTTTTGTCCGATTCATATTTCAGTTGTTTTTGTTGTTCGTGGTTCTATATTGAGGTTCAGTGAACAACAACTGCTAGCCCAGTTCTTCGATGCTCGATTCTACTCTGGGCCGTGGAGGGGCTGCAGGACTACTGTGGGCACACATCAGAAGGAAACAGATGGCGGCAGAGACTTGCAAACCTGTGGCATTCTACTGGACATGCCCAGGCATATCCCAGGCATATGGATTTGCCCATACATTCCTATACCACTCACCACCGTTCAATCGCCCCCCTCGTGGGTCCAGCGCCTGGTAACCCGGAGGTGCAGCAATGAACCTACACCATACCCTACACCTTGGGGGTACTTAGAAATAATTTTTAATCTTTGGCTACTATGATCCCTAAGAAGCAGCTAAAATTATAATTTTTGCTAGGGGTCTAAGTGCAGTATAGACACCATTGGGGCAGAATGCGTGCTCACTCTTGGACCTGTCGTGTGGGACTCGCTGGGACCTCGCAGCACGGTCCCTGTTTGTACTGACATCTCCGCCTCAAAATCCCCAAGGTCAAGCTGGAAGCTGTTGGTGGGGCTGTTAGGCTGGGGTTCTTTGCTTGGGCTTGTTTTGCTTCGGGCTCTGAGGTTTAAGCTCAGGGTGCTGATTCTTTTTTGGCCGAGGAAACAGAAACCCTCGGCTGTTTTCTCGGATTCCCATTTGTTTCGCTGCAGAGAAAGTCGGTGGGAGGTTCGACCTCAATGGAAACGGCACCATTGCGACTTGACTGCCCCTGACACAGCGTGAGATTGGAATCCAGATGCAATGTCAGCCTTCTTAAATTCGTAACGCCAAGTGCTATATGCCACATTATGAAATTTCATTTAGCTAGCCAGCCAGCCAGCAAGACAGGTAGATGATTCGATCGATCGGCCGACAGATAGGTAGGTATGTACACTTGAACGTGGCAACCCGTCGGTGTCAAGTCAAGCCAGGGGCCAGAAGTGATTGCAGTTGACAGCCCAAACCCTTCACCTAAAGACGAGCCTCAATAAATGAATGTGGTTGCGCCACATCAAGGTTTGACACCCACGAAATTCAAGTAGAACAGAGTTCTGTCAGAAGTGTGTCTCCTCTCGGCGGTTTGGCTTTGACAGCCCTTCGTTTTAAGTATATGACTGGAAGGCTGTCGGGGCTGCTCTCTAACGACCCAAACCCCCGATTGAACCCACAAAGCTCAAACCGGAAGTCCGCCATACCTGAAGCCCCTGAACTGCCCTGCAAGCCCTCACAGCTCGACAGCTTCAAACCCTTGTGCTTTTGAAGCTCTCGAAAAGTAAGGAGCAGTCTGAGCTGGCGATGGTTTTCCAAGTCCTAGCACCTCGCCACTGGCCCGGCAAGGAGCCAAATCTCTAGCAGTAGCAGTAGCGGTAGCAGCACTAGTAGCTGTTGCAGTGGTAGTGGTAGTAGTCGTCGTCGTCGTCGTAGTAGTAGTAGTAGTTGTTGTTGTTGTTGTAGTTGTAGTAGTTGTAGTAGTTGTAGCAGTAGCAGTAGCAGTAGCAGTAGCAGTAGCAGTAGCAGTAGTAGTAGTAGTAGGTGTAGTAGTAGTAGTAGTAGTGGTGGCAGCAGCAGCAGCAGCAGCAGCAGGAGGAGCAGTAGGAGTAGTAGTAGTAGTAGTAGTAGTAGTAGTAGTAGCCGTAGCAATAGTACTAGTAGTAGTAGTAGTAGTAGTAGTAGTAGTAGTAGTAGTTGCAGTAGCAGCAGCAGCAGCAGCAGCAGTAGCAGTACTAGTAGTTGTTGTGGTAGTAGTAGTAGTAGTAGTAGTAGCAGTAGTAG